CCTGGCCCCGAAAGACATAAGTGGGAAAGGAAAAGGCCTCAAGGAATCGCTGCTCAAGAAGAAAGCTGAAGGGAAGGCCCTTCTGCATCCTCTGACAGGACATGGAGGAAATCAAATGGCTCTGGAGTGCAGCGTTCAAACAGCCAATTAAGTCATTTAAAGTTTTCCAATTGATTTCCCCTTAACAGAGTCACAACAGCTTAAAATTCGTCAACAAACCACATCCCTCCTTAAGGGAAACAGGCAGCCCCCCTACTGCTTTACTTAATTCTACCAGACTACTAAACATCCCCCCTACCCTACTCCAGCAAAATCCAATTTAAGTACTCTGTTTACAGCAGCAGACCAACCTCTTTCTCAAGAGAGAAAAATCAAGGACCATCACCAAACAGACTCTTGACCAAAAAGCACAAACACCTCATACACACACACACACACACACACACACACACACACACACACACACAGAGCACACACAGAGCACACACACTCAGCAACCTTCAGTGCATTTCTCCCTTTGGCTGTAGGCAGTGGAGAGGGCAGAATTACGATTTCAAAGACTGTCTTTTCAACACAGTGCTGGGTAAGGCAAACGAAAGATCTAAAGTACTCCTTCCCTTCTATCCTGAAGCTGCTACCAAATAACACACCAGGTGGGTTCTGTTCAATCACCCCACGAGTAGTTGAAAGCAACCAAGCTCTGGCATTTCAGGCCAATGAAAACTCTGTCCTTTCACTCTCAAATAAATAATGTCTTGAAAATTATTGTTATTACTGTTCTGTTAATAAGTCTGCATTGCCTCAGTGCCCCACCTCCCACTGGTTTCCATTTGTTTTTCTGTGGGAGCCAGATCTTTGAAGCTGGTTTCTCCCCAAGCAGAGTGAAGATGTAGCACCCTTCTCTGCCTGACTGACCCTCCCTGGAGAGGCACTGTGAAGCTGAGTTACCCCTGGTGGGACTTTTCTCATTAGTACCATAGCATATATTCCAGCCTGACCAGCTCCCTCTAATCAGAGAACCCCAAATACATTGCAAGAAATATTAAAGGTGGCCAGAAAGTGGCAACTTGTTTATTACCACCTGAATCAATTCGGTCTAGCACTGCCAGGTGAGCACTGGCAGGTGAGAGAAAGAAGAGACCACTGCCCTGAGGTACTGGGTAGAAACTTGCCCTCACAAAGACAACAGCAAAATGAATATTGACAGCAAGTTTAAAGCTGCACCAGCCAAGCAAAGGGTGTAGGGGCAACAAGTGCCTGTGACAGTTAACATTATGGCAACTTGAGTTAAGAAATGCCCAGAAAAACAGGATAAGCATAGTCCTGGGTGTGGCTGAGGGCATTCACTAAAGACACATTCTATGGCATCTTATTGCCTGACAGACATAAAATGGAAATGGAGAAGGAAGGCTGACTGCTCTTCCTTCAGAGGAGTTCAAGTCTTCAACTTTGCCTTGAGCATCATCTCCAGGAGAAACTTCAGCCTCCTGAAATGCTAGCACATGAGATACTACCCTGAACTCCAGGCCTTTGCCTGGATCCCATGCTCTCCTGTGCAGGTAGCCCTTCTGCACTCTTCCACACCTCGCTTTGTGGGTGGACATTGTAAGCCAATCTTGGAATTTCTTACATATTTGTATGTCTTGCATTAAATCTGTTTTCTCTCATAATCACTGACTGATAAAATGTTAGAATATCATTCTTATGATGAAATAATTTTAGGTCAACTCAGGAATATAGGATATACATAGATGATTGGGACATTGTTCCCTGTCCTCAAGGAGCTTACAATTCAAAATGGGAAATAATGCATGTACACAAATAACATAACAAAATCAGAAGCAGGCAGTGAATAATGGGAAATATAAATAAAGATGCCCCAAGAATGCAAAGAGAGAGAAGACTTCTGTCCAGGGAAGACTGGGCAGGTGTTCCCTGGAGACAGCATGTGAATAGAATGGGGAGGAAAGTGCTGTATTTCCAGAGACAAAGCCTGGGAAACCCTACTGTGGGAGGCTGGTGCTGTGGGATGTAGCCTAGCATCTTCTGGTGCCAGCTATTTACCTTTCCAGATTCCTGCCTCCTGCTGCAACTCTGGCTACTGGTTTGGAAGGGAGATCAGCTAGGTGATCTTTGGGAAGAAGTTTCCTTCCCAACTCATGTAAGAAAAAGAATAGAAAAGTTGCTTTTCCTGGCCTGCACATGGTCATTCAAGGATGTGCTACCTAGAATTGTAGCTACCAGCTTGGTATCTAGGAGAAAGCACTGGAATATTTGTAGAGAAGGGGGTTTCATCTCATTATCTAATGGCCATTCAAGGGACTCCATCCTTCTGTCACCTGCAGCTGAATGCACCTGGAGTAACACACAAAGAGTAGGAAAATCCAGTCATGCAAAGATTGCAGAATGAGCACAGACCAAGGAAGGTGCGCTTGTGCTGACACAAGGGTGTAGCGTTTAGATAGCCAACATGAAATAAGGCGGGAAAGTTGGGGCCAACTTCTGGAAGAATTCACAACTAGATAAGAACTAGGAGTTGATCCTGAAGGCAATGGTGGAAAGAGGGTGAAGGCAACTGAGCATAGCACTGCCCTTATCGGAGCACTAGAATAGGAGCATCAGTAATAAGGCTGAGATGCAGGGGAAGGACTAGGTGGAGGAGGTGAGGAAAACACGTAGGACATGTGTTGCAAATACTCTAACTCAAGCATTATCAAGCATTGTATTGCCCTACAGAGATCTTAAAATTTCTGAAGTCTACTCAGTTGGTATGGCACCAAGATCTGGAAGGGTTTTAGTTCTTTGGTTCTGCCCCCCATCTTTTTTAAGATCCCCATATGACCTAATATGCAGTCAATGTCAAGACCAATGACTGTACCAGAGAAAAGGAAGGACAGACATGGGAGAGACAAGGGGAACACAACAGGCTGCATGTGGTCACCAGTAGGGTATACAGGGTGCAAAGGAGAGGAGTCAGTGATCAACTCTTCCAAGTGATCATCTCTTCCAGTGACAGGGGATGGCAGTGCCATTCACAAGAACCACAAATTTAAGGACAAAATGTTAAATTGGGGAAATATGGAGTTGAATATGGGCAAGCTCTGGCCTCTAGTTAAGCATTTAAAATTACAGGTTATTAAATAACCTACATTGGGAGATCACTGATCTCCTAGTGACGGTGGCACAATGGGGAAGGAACACAGCAAGAAGAGCAAAGGCAGACCATCTCTAAAGCCTTAGGGAACACTGGGGGAAAGGAAGAACTTGCCCAAGGAGAAGTCAATTGGGAGAATTAGACCTAACACCCCCACCCATTTATTCATTGATAAAACAGTTCTTTGATGGAAATTGGTCATCAGTGTATGAGGCTGACTGTGGAAAGGAATCTTGCCAGCTGCCTACAATAAAGCTAAATTTTAACACAAAGTCTCATGTACCAACTCATCTCATGGCAGAAAAAAAATATGATCGTTAAGAGTGAACTTTGTATTAAACTGTTAAAACCAAAGAGCAATGTTTTCAAATAATACTCTTGAACAAAACTCTCCTACTTTTGAAGCAAATTAAAATTGTACATATACCTCACTAATGAGGTCCCATGGTCCAGAAAGCAACCAGTTGAGACTGTGAAAGTGATATTTCTTCTTTACAAAAACTTAAAACTTTGCAAAAAAAAACATGAAGAAAGATATATGAAAAATCTTCCCTTTGTTTTTGTCTCAGTTTTCTTCAGGAAGAATCGGACAAATAAACAAATGCAAATTCAGACCTCTCCAGTTGGTTCTAGGTGAGAACATTTAAAACTGTTGAGAAATAGCATTGCATAGATGATTACCTAATAACAACAGGTATTATTATTGTTAAAATAATTAAGGTACTTAATATTATTTCAATTAGTACTATTAATGGTAATGTTACATCATTGTCATGTAGCTAGTGTCAAGATTTTCTTTTATACAATCCTCCTTGGTCCTATGACCATCTAGGTTGAGCACACTTAAGGTAGCTAGAATGAACCCACTTCTGAAGATTGCACTGAAATTGTTTCTATTAGTTTTCTACCTCTCAACAAACTGTGCATGGGTATAAATGGTGATGACTGGTTTTGTGAGATAGAATCATTAGCCTATTTGTGAAAATAGAATTTCATTTAGTCCCTACTAGGATAAAAGAATACACTACTAGAGTTATCTAATACTTCCATATTTAAATTTTAGTAGGAAATCATATGTCCCTAAATTTGAAGGAAAAGCTCAATGAGAAATAGTCCATGGCCTCTCCTTTACTATTTTTTTAGTAACTGCTTCTATGTAAAATTTCCTCAAACACGCGCTGCTTAAGGAAAGGTTTTGAATTAAATTTCTATCTCAGATAAATGTACATTTGCTAAAGATCAGGCATGTGTCCTCAAAAATACAAAAGACGTATGGATATCGCTAAGGTTAATTACCTTTAGTTCTAAAATGAAGTTGGTTGCTCTCAGGGGTACACCACTGAGAAAATAGATAACTAAATCCACTCATTCCTCCGGAGCCATCCCATACTCATGGGTGATGTCGGAGGTCCTTCCCAACTCCAGGTGCCTAGCTAGCATTCCACGTGAGATGTGCCTCGTGTACTTTCACGGCCATCTCAAGGAAGGAGAAGTATGGATGATTTCCAGCTTCTTTTTAATTTTAAATAAATTCCATTTCATACAGCAGAATCTTCTCAGCCATTAAAAATTATGGGTTTTTTAAAGAAGAAAATTAAGAACAAAGAAAAATACTATACTTTCACAATTATACATATGTTAATTACATTATATTATTGTAATTTTATTAAAATTCAATAAAATTTAACCAACCCTCTTAAAATTATCTATAGGGGCAGAAGGCTTCGTCTCTGAGCGACTCAGCTACCGGTGTGTCCTGAGAGGCTGCGGCAAAGCCTCCAAAGAAGACGCGAAAGCTTGGCAGCTTCAATTGAAGCCCAGCGAGGGCGACGTCGAACCCGGAGTCATGAGCGATAGCGGCGAGCGGGAATCCCGTTCTGCTTCCAGAAGTAGAAGTGCTCACAGATCGGGGAAATCTGCAAGGCATACCCCTGCAAGGTCTCGCTCCAAGGAAGGTTCTAGGCGTTCCAGATCAAAATCCAGGTCCAGATCTGAATCTAGGTCTAAGTCCAGAAGTTCTCGAAGGCATTGTACAAGGTCACGGTCTCGATTTCGTTCTCACAGACATTCCGTAACAGGTCTTACTGTCGAGATTATCGCAGACGCCACAGCCACAGCCATTCCCCCATGTCTACTCAAAGGCGTCATGTTGGGAATCGGGTGAATCCCGACCCAAACTGTTGTCTTGGAGTGTTTGGGTTGAGCTTGTACACCACAGAAAGAGATTTAAGACAAGTATTCTCGAAATATGGCCCAATTGCCGATGTGTCTATTGTGTATGACCAGCAGTCTAGGCTTTCGAGGGGATTTGCCTTTGTGTATTTTGAAAATGCAGACGATGCCAAGGAAGCTAAAGAACGTGCCAACGGAATGGAACTTGATGGGCGTAGAATCAGAGTGGATTTCTCTATAACAAAAAGACCACATACCCCAACACCAGGAATTTCCATGGGGAGACCTACCTACAGCAGTTCTCGCCATCGGGATTACTACGACAAAGGATATGACCGTGGCTAAGATGATCGGGATACTACGGCAGGTCATACAGAGGAGATGGTGGAGGAGGAGGTGGATGGAGAGCTGCTCAAGATAGAGATCAGATTTACAGAAGGCGGTCGCCTTCTCCTTATTACAGTCGTGGAGGATATAGACCTCGCTCCAGATCTCGATCCTACTCACCTCGTCGCTATTAAAGCATGACGATGAAGACTTTCTGAAAGCTGCCATCGAGCTGGGATGTTGTTTGTGGACAATATTTTTATTGTCTGTTTAAAAAGTGAACAGTGCCTAGTGAAGTTAGGTGACTTTTACAGCTTTTATGATGACTCTGTCAGTGGAGTTGAAATGCTGTTTTCATTCTGCATTTGTGTAGTTCGGTGCTTTGTTCAAAGTTAAGTGTTTTCAGAGAAGTATGTTTTGCATGTATTTCTTTACAGTCTTAAATTTTGACTGATGAGAAGTTTCTATTGTACAAAAACTTCATTTAAAAGGCTTTTCTACTGAATCCAGGGTAATCTGAAGATTGAAGCCTGTGTGTAAAAATGCTACCAAATGGCAAAGAGCAACAATAAAGTTGATTTTTATTTTTCTTTCTAACACTGATGCTTAGCAAAGCGATTCAGATTTGTTATCAGTAAATTTAAAGGCAAAAATACATGTTTTTTCTTCAGTCCATGAAACAAACCATATTTAATATACCTGCAACTAAGTGTTAAAAATATGCTCTGCAACTCTGTACTATTAGTATTAAAACTTAAGTTTCTCAATGCAGCAAATACTTAATGCTTATATAAATGTGGATTTGTTAGCCTTTATGTAATCTGTATTATGTTTAGCAGGAAATAAGAAAAGAGTTACACATTGTGTATGCCTTAAGGCTATTTCTTGAAGTTGTTAAAAGGGAATAATGGTATTTCAACTAGTTATCAGCAAATGACAATACATTCCACGACAAATGTATTCTTGTTCTTCTAGTTTTTGGACTATTAAAAAAACTGGGTGCTTCAAAGTACAGGATAAGAGAAGGGAACGCTACATGTGTGTCATGGATGAACCGAAGATTGCCTATTCATTTTTTAAATATTATTTTCAGGTCCTTTGTTTATCAAAGAAGGCCCAATTTCACTCAAATGTTTTGAGAACTGTGTTAAATAAATGAAAACAAAGAGAAAAAAATAAAATTATTTATAATGATTTGTTCTGGGATACAAGCTAGAAATATTTTTTTTTAATTTTCTATCTATCAGTAATGATGTGCCCATGTGAAATATATCATGATGAAAACATCAGAAAGTTTATTGAAATACTAATGCAGTTTACCCAAGTCTTATTCATAATAAATAACCATAGATAATACCATGTGCTATCACCATATAAAATACACATATATCACATGTGTGTACCAAAGTTACAATAAGGATAAAATCTTTAAAGAAACATTAGTGGGAGGAATTTCTGCCGACTTCCGGGAACCCCCAGACCCAGTCCTAGCCCAGGTCCAGTGAGTGTGTGGAGA